TAAGAGGTGGAAATAAGAGAAGCAATCCCCAAAGGAGGTTGAAAAGAGCAGCCAAGTAGGAAGGCAGAAAACCAGGAGATATGATGCCTTGGAAGACAACAGGAGAAAGTATATACCAAGGAAGAAAGTGATCAGTTGTGTCAGATGATGCTGAAAAGCCAAACGAGATGGGATTTAGCAATGAGAAGATCACTGGTGACTTGGCTGAGCAGTTTCCTTGGGATGCTTTAGGTGAAAGCCAATTTGGAATGGATTTGAGAAGAACGGGAGGAGAGGATTAGAGGTAGCAAAGATGTAATTCCTTAAAGTTTTGCTGCAAAAGAAATCAGAGATGTGGGGTGATAGTTTCAAGAGAATGATTTGTGCTTTGTAATTGTTATTGTTTAACTTGAGAAAAATAATAGCATACTAGTTTGCAGTTGGGAATGATCTAGTGAAAATTCATCATTTAAGAGAGAGAGAGAGAAATTGCTACAGCGTCATCCTTGAGTAGGTAAGAGGGGATGCAATTTAGTTCACAATGAAGGATTGACTTTAATAGAAACACAGTAGTTCACTTTTTATAACAGCGAGGAAGATTGGTAGGTGGGTCAGTAGAGCAACAAGAGCCCAAAGTTCTCTTTACATTGCTTCGATTCTTGAAATGAAGTAGGAAGCAAAAGCATCAGCAAAGAATGAGAATAGGAGATTTGAGAAGAGAATAGAAGAGAAGCAGTCATCCAGAAAACAGGGAGTGTGAGTGATCTAAAAAAATATAATATGATTATTGAGTACGTTAAGGGCCCCCTAAAGGTTTGTGTTCATGAATTTAAAGTTAAATCAGTCAGCATGATCATGGTTTTTCTCCAGCCATATTAGCTTTATAGGTGCAGAGTAGGAAGAGTTTTGGATTTAATCAGACTTGTAGATTTGCCAAGGGAGTTTTACAGATTAACAGAAGAGCAAATAAATTGAGAGTGTATGGGAAGGCAGTTGTAATTATTGACCATGGAATTTAAGGTGGAATACAGGAGGAAGAGAATATAATAAGAGAATGATGTAAAAATTGATAGAACCTAAAGACTGTCAGTTCCTATGAAGTCAAAGGAGTTTTGAAGTCTGGATAAGTATTCCAAAAAGAAGAGGAAGTAAGCTAGAAAGATAGAAGCCAACCAGAAGATGAGACAAATGAGATAGATGTTATAGAGCATTTGCATTATAGGTATGGCACAGTTTAAGATATGACCCTAGAAAATAGATTGGAGTGCAAGATAATTGGAGGAGAGATGATCAAGAAACTGAAAGTTTGAATTGTTGGAAGGACCTTTAAATGTCTATTGAAATTACAAAGTATTAGGACACTGGGTAGACTGACAGTTACCCAAGGACTCAAATTGTCAATAAACAAAATGTTTTCAAATTCAGTAAATGACAGCTGGAGTGAGGAATAGTGGGTAATATAATTGAGTGACAAATTTTCAAAGCTGAGAGTTTCAGGAATGTGGGAGAGATAATGGTTTAAAACCAGTAATAAGTAGGTAATAGAACACTGTGTTCTATCTGCAGGGCAATGGTAGGATTATATGTGGGGAAAATAACTCATCACTTAAGTTTAGATAGCAAAAGGAAATTCATCCACCATTTGGGTCTTCTCAAATAAGAGCCATTATTTTCTTAGAACAGGAAGTTAAAGGAAATGATCAAAGAATAGATTAAAAATATAATTTTGAGGATGATGGACCATGAATTCCAGAAGGCACTATGCAAGTTGGGGATAGATGAGAAAGGAGGATCAAATAGAAGTATGCTGAATCTGAGGGAGCTGGAGAGGGAGAGATGAAGATTAACCTAGGACCACGGTCATCTTACATTGACTGATGTAAACACAGTCAAGGGGCATAAGATTTGTCCTCAGGGACTGGAGGGCAGCAGCAGAGATGAAGTCATGCTTCATGACTTTTCGTCTCACCCTTTGCATCTTAGAAAGGTTAACCTGATTCAGGATCTCAATTCTGTCACCTAAGCTGATCTCATATTCAGCCCCCCACCTCCCCTTTAAAGCAAAGGTTTGCGTTGAATGATTCAGTGATACAGAGTGATGAGTGTCCTGGGCTTCCTCCTCACCTCTTTGGATAGAGAAGAGGTGGTCTGGGAAAGCATAGTTGTTTCTCAGTGTCTGAAGATTGTCCCCCTGACCACCATTGATAGAGTTGACATACTCTGGATAATGGTTGCTAAATTAATGTTTAAATTTTTCAAATGCCTAGTACATGCCAGTACCTCTTAAAATAGGGCAGAAACCATTAGAAAGACACAAAGGGCAATGGGGAGATGTGTATTCAGGGACAGGAGACATAATTTTGGGAAAATCAAGAAAGTCTTCATGAACGAGGGGCATAAGAAATGGACTTAAAGATGAGGTATCAGCTTCTAATTGGAGGTGGGAGTTTTCCACAGAGGGAAAAATGTAGAAAAGGCATGACACGTATTTAGGGATCACTATGTATTTGAGTTCAGAACACATATAACAGTTGGGGGTTATAATATGGAGCTATATGGAGGCCAAGAAAGTGATAGTAATTGAAGGATGGATATTGAGCAAAGCAGTAGTATAATCAAAGTTTTCTCTGGAAAGATTAATCTGGCAGTGCTGTTCTAGGTGGTTTGGAGAGGTGAGGGACTGAAGATGAGATCAGCTTAGGTAACAGAATTGAGATCGTGAATCAGTGTAACCTTTCTGAGATACAAGGGATAAGACAAAAAGTATTATGGAGGTAGGGTCTGAATGCTTACAAGGCAAATGATGGTTCTAGTAACTGAAAAAAGTAATATAGCCAGGAAAAATCTTTTGATTAATAGAACAGTAAGTTTTAGACAAGCTGAATTGTAAGTGCTTTAGGTAAGTGGAGGCCCAGCAGTAACTATGTAAATTAATAATATCTTCTCTCTACCTCTGATGTAATAAATAATCTGAGAATTGTGGATAAAAGACAATCTCTTGAGAATAACAGATGCGAAGCTCAAATTTTCCTTTTTTAAATTTATCATGAATGTTTACTGTTTAAGTATGTTTATTTTTATGAAAACATGATTTACCATTGTTTTATAAATATTTGAGTTGACTATTAAATAGTAAAAATTGAATATGACTTGTTAAAAATATTTTAAAGTATTTTAATAATTTATTAATA